GTATTTTTTCCTTATCCATTCTGGGTGTCATTCTGATTTGATTAGAGATGGTTATTTTCTTTTGAAAGTCCCAAATAAACTCATCTGAAGTAAATTCAACATAAAACATATAAGATTTTCTCAATGTTATATATTCTTTTCATAAAAATATAGATTATTTGAATTTTAATATCTGTTGATAACTTATAAGAAATTTGGCTTATCTTAAAATGCTAGATACTAATTTAATTTGTAGCAGAAGCAACTCATGATGTCAGTAAGACTTAAGGGAAGTATTTTTGGAGATAAGAGAGTGGGATATAGGATGAAATGAGAAGACATTTTTTAGAAAGAATGATAAATCCAGTGTAACAAAAGAATGGGATGGGCCTGGGCATGGTGACATCTGCCTCTGGTCCCCAGACACTCGGGAGGTTGTAGGGGAGGATTCTCCGGGCCCAGGAGTTGGAGGCTACAGTGAGCTGTGATGGTGCCATATGCACCCCAGTCGAAGGGACACAGGGAGACTGTCTTAAAAAGAAAAAGAGTAGGATAAGAATCATATGATTTTTTGATTATTTAAGAGATAAACTTTTTTTTCTTTGTTGGTAATTTATAAAACTTATGTCTCTAAGAGCCATTCATGAACTGTGGCGGTGAGGGTTAGCCTATGATAATGCTAAGTGATATTCTTTTTAAATTAATATTATTCCTCTGTTCATACAACTGCTATATTGTTTTGAAATAGATCATTTAGTATTTGGGGGATTATTGGTGAATAAATGTGGTTGTTTTGGTATTTTACTTTTTGGAAGGTGATGCTTTGTTATATTAAAATGATCAACTTCTTATCCTTTTTATAAACATAAGGTGAGTTTCGATTTGGGTTATATGTGAAAATGTGAACTTTAGAAAATACCACTGGACTAATGAAATACTTTGAAATATTAGCATTATAATGTTTACTTGATGAAAATTTATAGAATTATCCCAAAGTTAACATTCACTTTAAGGGTAATGAATGGATAAATTTTGTCAAGTCTCTGAAAATATTGAGTATGTGTCATTGCTCTTAAAGGACAGGATAAAGTCCTTTACTGGACTTTCTTCCTGGAGCTTATTAAAACTATAGACTCTGCAGCTGTGCTCCCAGAGAGTCTCATTCATTAGCTCTGTGATGCAGGATGAGAATCATAGGAATCGCAGAGAGCCTGGGAATTTGGATTTTTAGTTTTTAATTTTGGTTGATATTAGGTTTCCATGTTATTTTGATGCTGCAGTCACATTTGAAGCAGTATTCACTGCTTTGAACCTTAAAGTAATGGCAGTTATTTCCTCTGCTAATGAAACAAAATAAACAGGTTTGGTGTTTTTTTCTAAATTTTTTTGAGACTGGGTCTTGCTCTGCTGCCCAGGCTGGAGTACAATGGTAAGATCATGGCCCACCACAGCCTTAACCTGCTGGGCTCAAGTAATATTTATTGAATGAATGAAGTCACCCTTTTTTTCCCAACTCTTTGTTTCTTAGAAGTTTTATTCTACAAAAAAAGTAGTGCAATATACATTTATATACACTTCACTTGGATTTAACAATGAGCATTTGCCACATTAGCTTTCTGTCTTCCTCCATATATAATATATGCGTATGTGTGTATATATGTGTGTATCAATTTGTCTTCATCTCTCTGTATACATAATTATTAGCAGAAGTGAACCATATGAAAGGAAGTTGCAGTCATAGCATTTTTCTCAAAATAATTCCATGTTTATCTCCTATGAACAAGATCATTCTCCTGCATACTATGATATTGTTAAGAAATTTAACACTGAAACAGTGATATGTTTTTATGTACAATATTCATATTTACCCAGTTGTCCCCATGTCTTTTATAGCTTTCTGTTTTCTTTTCCTCTAGGATCCAATTCAAGATTTCATATTGTATTTGGTTGTCATGGCCTTCTATTTTCTTGTAGTTGAAAACAGTACTCTTAGTATGATTTTTCCTTTCATTAAATTTATACTTTTTAAGTGTTTGAGCTGGCTATCAAATGTCTGCAATATGAATGTGTCTTTATTGTTCATGATTGGATTTAGGTTACACATTTTTGGCAAGAATAGCACACAGATGATGATGTACTTGTCATTCCATTGGCAAGAGGCTACGTGATATCAGTATGCTACTAAATTTGGTTATTTAGTTAAGATAGTATTTGCCAGATCTTCCCATTGTAAAGACACGTTGTTACCTTTGTAAAAAAAATTATCTACTTTGATACTTTTCAGATATCCTGTTGATCAACAATATTTCACCCAGTGTATTATAATATGTATTAATGGCCCTTGTCTGAATCAATTATTACACTGGTGATAATTTTATCATTCCTTTTACATTTATTAGCTGTCATGTTTTGGTAAAGAACTTTCCCTGTCCCCAACATGTGCGTCTTTTTAAAATTTTCATTTTTAATTTAATGTATTATTTTTTACTGTTATTATTCTTAGGCTCATATTGTCCCAAATTTGGCCATTGGATGGTTCCTTTATTTCCATCAGTCTTTGAGCACTGACTGTTCTGGTCTGGTGGAGAATGATACTTAGAAACTAAAAATGTGGGCACTAAGTGTGCTGATAATTACTGCAGTGTCCTTTGCTTCCTACATGGCCTTTTCAAAGTGGATAGAGCTAGGATGACATATGTTTTATAGGCAGCCAGACAAATATATACGTTTATTTATTTAAATACATTTGTTTTGATAACTCAAGTTCATTCTTAATCTCCCATTCTGTATTTATTGCTTCTTTTTCTCACAGTGAGAGACCTAATACTCAACAACTTAAATGTTTGCTCACTTTTACTATCTGAAGTATACATACTACAAGTAACAACAAACCTACTAAGATACATTCTAGATTCGCTTCCATTTTTTTCTTTTATGTTTAGTTAGTATGTAATAATTGTATGTATTAATGGGATACAGTGATTTTGTTACAGTGTAAGCAGTGTATAATGATCAAATCAGGGTAATTAGCGTATCCATCACCTCAAATACTTATCATTTCTTTATGTTGTGAACATGAAAGATCTTCTTGTAGCTTTCTGAAAATATACAATACATTAACCAGGCATGGTAGCTCATACCTGTAATCCCAGCACTTTAGGAAGCTGAGGTAGGTGGATCATGAGGTCAGGAGTTTGAGACCAACCTTGCCAACATGGTGAAACCCTGTCTCTACTAAAAATACAAAAAATTAGCCAGGTGTGGTGATGCATGCCTGTAATCCCAGCTACTCAGGAGACTTAGACAGGAGTATCGCTTGAACCCCAGGAGGCAGTGATTGCCGTGAGCAGAGATCAAACCATTGCACACTAGCCTGGGCGACAGAGCAAGACTCTGTCTCAAGAAAAAAAAAGAAAATATACAATAAATTATGGCTAACTGTATTCACCCAACAGTGCTACAGAAGGCAGGAACTCATTTCTACTATCTAGCTGTAATTTTGTATCCATTAACCAATTTCTCATTTTCCCTCCTACCTCCCGTTTCAAGCCTCTGATACCCATAATTCTACACTATATTTCCATAGGCTCGATTTTTTTTTAAGCACCCACAGATGAGTGAGAACATAAGGTATTTTTCTTACTGTGCCAGATTTATTTCTCTTAACATAATGTGCCCCAGGGTAATTCATGTTGCTTTGAATGACAGGATTCCATTCTCTTTGTGGCTGAATAGTATTCCATTGTGTATATATAGCATGTTTTATTTATCCATTCATCTGTTGATGGACATTTTGGTTGATTTTGTGTCTTAGCTGTTGTGAATAGTAGCTAAGCTGCAATAAACATGGGGATGCAGGTATCCCTTTGATATACTGATTTCCTTTCTTTTGGAATAATGTCCAGTAGTGGGATTGCTGGAATTATTTTGTGGTTCTGTTTTGAGTTTTTAAAGAAACCTCCACACTGTTTTCCATAGTGATTGTACTAATTTATATTCCTACAAACAGGGTGTATGAATTTTCTTTTCTCTGCATTTTTGCCAGCACTTACTTTGTCTTTTTTGGTAATGATCAGTCTAACTGGGGTAAGATGATATCTGATTGTGGTTTTGACTTGCATCTCCCTGAAGATAGTGACGTTGAGCTCTCTCTATATATAGATTTGTTGGCCATTTGTATGTTTTCTTTTGAAAAATGTCTATTCAGATCATTTGCCCACTTTTTAATTGGGTTATTTGGGTTTTTTGCTGTTGTATGAGTTCCTTGTATATTCTGGATATTAGTTCATGTCAGATGCATAGTTTGCAAATATTTTCTTCCATTCAACATGTTGTCTCTTTATTTTTATTGCTGTGCAAAAAGCTTCTCAGTTTAAGTCCCATTTGCATATTTTTGTTTTTTCTTGCCTGTTCTTTTGATTTCTTAGCCATAAAATCTTTGCCTAGATCAATGTCTTGAAGTGTTTCCCCTATAGTATTATAGTTTGGTCGTATAAATAAGTCTGTAATTTATTTTAAGTTGATTTTTATATATGGTGAGAGATATGGGGACTAGTTTTGTCCTTCTGCATGTGGATATCCAAATATTCTAGCACGTTTATTGAAGAGATATTCTTTCTCCAGTGTATGTTCCTGGCACCTTGTCAAAAATCAGTTGGCTCTAAAAGCATGGATTTATTTCTGAGTTCTCTATTCTGTCCCATTGGTCTGTTTTCATACCAATACCATGTTGTTTCGGTTATTATAACTTTGTAGTGTATTTTAAAGTCAGGTACTGTAATAACTCCAGCTTTATTCATTTTGTTCAATATTGCTTTGGTTATTTTGGGTCTTTTGTGGTTCTGTATGAATTTTAGGATTGTTTTCTAATTCTGTGAAAAATGACTTTGGTATATTGATAGGGATTGCATTGAATCTTTAGATCACATTGGGTTGTGTGGTCATTTTAACAATATTAATTCTTCCAATTCATGAGTATGGGCTATTTTTATTTTTTGTGTCCTCTTCAATTCTTTAATCAGTGTTTTTATAGTTTTCATTGTAGGGGTCTTTCACCTTCTTGGGCAAATTTATTCCTAGATATATTTTAAATATTTTATAGCTATTTTAAATGGGATTGCTTTATTGATCCCATTGATTTCTTATTCAGCTAGATCATTCTTGGTGTATAAAGTACTACTAATTTTTGCATCCTAACTTTGTATCCTGCAACTTTCCTGAATTCATTTATCAGTTCTAAAAGTATTTTTGGTGAAGTCCTTGGGTTTTTCTATATATAAGATCATGACATCCATAACGAGGATAGTGACTTCCTCCTTTCTAATTCAAATGCCCTTTATTCCTTTATTTTGCCTAATTGCTATGGCTGGGACTTCCATTAGTATGTTGAATAACAGTGGTGGAAGTAAGTATTTGTGTCTTGTTCCAGATCTTAGAGGACAGACTTTCAGCTTTTCCCTCATTAAGTATGATATTAGCTGTGGGTTTGTCATATATTGCCTTTTATTGTTTTGAGATATGTTTCTTCTTTGCCTAATTTCCTGAGAGTTTGTATCATGAAGTGATGCTGAAATTTATCAAATGCTTTTTCTGCATCTATTGAGATCATTGTATGGGTTTTGTTCTTTATTCTATATCACAGTGATTGACTGGCATGTGTTGAACCATCCTTGCATGCCTGGGATAAGTCTCACCTGATCAGGGAGTATTATCTCTTTAATGTGTTGTTGGGTTCAGTTTGCTAGTATTTTGTTGACAACTTTTGCCTCTGAGTTCACTGGGGATTTTGGCCTGTAGTTGCTCTTTTGGTGTGTCTGGTTTGGGCATTAGGCCAATGCTGACCTGGTAGAATGAATTAGGAAGAATTCTCTCAACTTCCAGTTTTTTAGAATAGTTTAAAAAGAATTGGTGTTAGTTCTTTTTTATATGTTTGGTAGAATTCAGAGGTAAAGTCATCTGATGCTGGGCCTTTCTTTGTTGGGAGACTTTATTACTGATTCCATCGTTTACCAACTTTGTGATGATAATAAGCAAGTTACTTTACTACTCTTAGGCTTTTTATTTTCTTATCTATAAATTGAGGATGGTAATAATATCTATCTTACACAGGTATTACATGTAAAGCTTGACATGTTAAGCAGATGTTACATATTATTATTGATGTATTTTAATAAATTTGAGAATAGAATAATGTAGCATAGGCCTAAGAGTTAGGCTATGAGTTGGGAAATGCACGATACATAGTTGTAACAGTTAAATAGGAAAGGACAGATACTTTATAGAGTTAAATAGGAAAGGACAGATACTTTATAGAGTTAAATAGGAAAGGACAGAAACATTATAGATGAAGATTTTAAAATTTTATATAGCTTTAAAAAAATCTTGAAATGGTTTTTTATGCTGTTATTTCATAGTATTTATGTGTTCCTTTTGTTACATCAATAGTTAATAGCTCACAAATGAATGTAACTTTATAATTTATAAAGTACTTTGACATATGTTGCTAAATTTGATTCTAAGAATCATTCTGAGGTATTATTTCTACTAGGCTCCAGAAAGGTTAAGCAATTTGTTGAAGATTATATAAGTTAGTAAAATAATCAATGTTAAAGTTGAATCCCCATATACCCATTCTAGTGATTTCTCCATTATTTCCTATTACATGGCAAGAAAAATACATAGCAAGGAACAAATGTGAAAAACTGCTATTAGTCCTTTGAAAGAGTTAGTATCTTTTTCTAAGCATCAGCCTTATAGAAGAAATAAGCAAGACATGAAAGGGGAAAGACTAGTTCAGAATCTACTAATTATATAATTCATATATAGACCCAGTGACATTTGAATATAAACTTTGATAAATCAAAATCTTTAGTGGCTATCATTTGCCATTTAAAATATCATTAGTAGAACTGATAATAAACTCTTGCTTTCTTGCACCAAATTGTATTAGGCACTTACTACATTTGGGATGATTGTAAAATATTTTACAATAGAACTATTTCTTAAGTGTTTTTAAATAGTATTGATCATGAAACTTTTTGAAATTTACCATCAGGCCAATGGTGGCAGAGTCTACATAGAGCTATGCTTCGTGGTGTTCTGGGGAAAACGTTTCGACTTGTTGGCTATACTATTCAGTATGGCTGTATAGCTCATTGTGCTTTTGAATACGTTGGTGGTGTTGTCATGGTAAGTTTTTATGTTCAAGAATATTCATCCTAAATATATACTTTTTTTTCGAATAGAAGGAAAATGTGTTTTTCCTTTTATGATAGTTGAAGTTGTTAATGAATAAAATGTGAAAGTTAAAACATAAATTTTTCTATATATTGGGATAATAAGAGAGCATGTTTGAACTAGCACTGATATAAGGTATAAGGACCATTACTTAAATATTTTCTGTATTCTCTTTCTAATGGGCACAAAAGGTCCTTTTGAATAGTATACAAATAATAGTTGTTACCATTTATTGAATCCTATTTACTGTGTTTCAGGATATGTTTGATGTTTTACACTTATTAACTCATTTAATCTTTTACACTTCTGTGAGATACTTATAAGTAATCCATTATACACATGAGGAAGTGAACTGAGAAAGCTTAAGTAATTTACTTGTTCCCAGGTCCCACAGTAAGTAGGAGACTTGAAATTTCAACACATATTAGTCCAGCTTTCAAAATTACACCTCATAACCACAATGTTTAACTATAATTAAAACAAATCTAATTATATAAGACAGATTATTAATCTAATTAAGACTGATTATTCTGCCTAATGTCTATATTAAAATGTTAAAGCTGCTTCCTATCCCCAACTAATACTTTTTCTTAACATTGTATCAGGAAACTACAAACCATGGCTGTTGATTCAAGCCTTTTGCCATGTAAATGAAAGAATAAGTTGATTGACCAGCCAGTCAATAGTTTTTTAATTGTTATTACTGTTTTTTTTTTAAATTAGGTTTACTTTATTAGATTAATAGTCTTAACCTCAAGTTAAGCTGGAAATGTATATATTTAACTGAACCTTCCCTTCTTTTTTTTCTTTTTTGTTTTTTTGAGATGGTTGCACTCTATTGCCTGGGCTGGAGTGGAATGGTGTGATCTCAGTTCACTGCAGCCTCCACCTCCCAGCCTCAAACAATTCTCGTGCCTCGATCTCCTGAATAGCTGAGACTACAGGCATGCAGCATTATGCCTGGCTAATTTTTGTATTTTTAGTAGTGTTGGGGTTTCACCATGTTGGCCAGGTTGATCATGAACTCCTGGCCTCAAGTGATCTGCCCACCTCAGCCTCGCAAAGTTCTGGGATTACAGGTATGAGCCACCGCACCTGGCCGAAACTTATCTTCCTGATTTTTTTGTAAGTTAGATTGGTACTTCCAAAGGTAGCAAACAGACTTTCATTGTGTTTCTTGTTATTTCTGCCTGAGTAGGAACTTTTGAGTAAAAAGTTTTATTTACAAATAAATAGAGACTGTTGTATTTAGATTTTTAAGTGGCTATGATAATTTTTTCCAATTCTAAGGTAGAGGTTGAGTATCCCATATCTGAAATGCTTGGGACCAGAAGTGTTATGGATTTTAGACTTTTTTTGGATTTTGGAATATTTGTATTCATAATGAGATATTTTTGGGATGGGTCCTAAGTCTCAACACAAAATTCATTTATATTTCATATGTACCTTGTGTGCATAGCCTGAAGGTAATGTTATACAATATTTGAAAGAATTTTGTACATGAAACAAAAATTTGGACTGTATTTTGGCTGTGACACATCACATGGAGTCAGATATGGAATTTACCATTTATAGCATCATGTAGACACTCAGAACATTTTAGATTTTAGAGCATTTAAGATTTCAGGCTTTTTATTAGGGGTGCTCAACCTGTATATATCAAGAGTATTGTTTTGATATATACAATTTGATACAAATAGGAAAATCTTTGATTGCTTCATTGTAAAGATGGGGGTCTCTCTAGGTTGCCAGGTCTGGTCTTGAACTCCTGGCTTCAAGTGATTCTTCCAAAATTTTGGGATTACATGTGTGAGCCACCATACCTGGCCATGAAAATCTTTAAAGTCCATCTCATCATGCCAGTTATTTTTCGGAAGAAAATTTAAGTTGCAGCCCCAGAAATGAGTAAGTAATTCTCTTGGAAGAGGAAGATGGGCATAAACTCATTGAGAAAAGTATAATACCACTTAATAAGTTATCATGTTCACTGGACCATATCTGATAATAAGAAGAAAATGAATCCCCTCATTTATTCAGCCAATATGTATGGTTTATCAGTTTTGTACCAAACAGTTATACAGCTGGGAACATCAGAGAGAAGATCTCTGCCCTCATGGAACTGACATTCTATAGGGTGCCGAAATTTGGAAACATTGGTAATGTTATTTTATTCAGGCATTATAATGTGAAATCAATAAACCATTTATTCTGTGTTTGTCTATGTTTTCAGACTTATTGGTTACTCTGGAGTTGAACTTATTTGAGAACTGGCTAATTTTTATGAATCATCCCCTAAGCTTTAAGAACATTTGCTTGATTTTCTTTCTTTTAAGCCTGTTCAAATGATTTATGTTAAATTTAAAAGAGATTTTGAACTCAGATTACAAATTGCCTCTCTTTTCAGTGTTCTGGACCATCAATGGAGCCTACAATTCAAAATTCAGATATTGTCTTTGCAGAAAACCTTAGTCGACATTTTTATGGTATCCAAAGGTAAATTCCAGTCATGGATATATTAAATTTACAGTGAAAATACACATACACATGATGCCTTTTCTGCAGTTCCTTAAGTTTATCTTTAAAAACTCTTTCATAAATAACCATATTAATGACCAGCTTGATAAAATTTTGAGTCAAATATTTTCTTTCAGTTTGAGAAATGGTTAATAGTTTCTCAAACATGTACAATCTCTTGGGTCACTGTATTTCTTGTATCATTGTAAAAACTAATTAGCAGTCCCTTACAATATGCGTGTGAGCTCACTTGACTTTATTTTCTTGGGTTTTAGAATGTTTTGAGTTAAGCATTAGGAACTTAGGGATTACATTACATATCCAATGTTTTTGTTCTTTAATTTTAAAAATAATCCTGTAGTTCTATTGATTGCTGTCTTACTTATTCTCTGCATACGGCCTATGATGAGCATTTGATGATTTTAATTTTTTTAAAAAATTTCTGATACACATTTTTTGAGATGGGGTCTTGCTTTGGCTTCCAGACTGGAGTGCAGTGGTATGATCTCAGTTCCCTGCAGCCTCAATCTCCTGGGCTCCAGTGACCCTCCCCCTCAGCCTGCCAAGTAGCTGTGACTACACGTGTATACCACTGCGCCCAGCTAATTTTTGTAGTTTTTGTAGAGACTGAGTTTTGCCATTTTGCCCAAGCTGGTCTCGAACACCTGAACTCAAGCAATCAATCGACTCACCTCAGCCTCCCAAAGTGTTGGTATTACAGGTGTGAGCCACTGTGCCCAGCCCATTTGACGATTTTTAGATTGCATTATTGTATATGGCTGACAACCGGGAATTTTATATATTATGAGTCTCCTGATTAATTATATTAAGTTGAATACTTCCTGGGCAAATACTGTTTGTCACTAAACCTTTTAAAATCCTATTTCAAATGGTGGTTCCAATCCTTGTGATACCCATTATTCTAATTAACTCCATGAGAATGATTTCTTCCAAATGAATGTCAAGTATTAATAATTTAATATATTTTCTAAAGAGCACCTCTCTGACATCCTAAAATTTTGAGTCCATTTGTTTTTTATAATTCTGAAAAAAAATCTATGCCAGCTTTCATTTCAGTAAACTACAAATTTGATTCCCTTGAGCTAGTATTTAGTTTATGGCATAATAACTAGGTTTAGGCACTTCTTTTTCACTATTCACCTTTGCTGTACCTGTTTCACATTATTAAAAATCATGAAGAATAGTGTATAAACTGTTCTTCACATTTACTGATCTTTCACCAGCCTTAGATTCTACAGATAGAAACTCTCTTGGTCAAGCTATATGGTTTGGCATGCTCTGTAGGTAATTCTTCTTCAAATCTTTTACCCATATAACTTCTAGATACTTAATTGTAGATACAGAATTTATAAAATAAAAACTTATATAATAGGTGTGTGTTGCTCCCTTTTCTTTTTAACTTATATCAAATTATCCTTACATAGCCTTTGAATTAACTGGAGACCTAGCCTCACTGTAGCATGAAGACAAGCTTCGTGTTCCATGCCAGTGACTTTCGATATTCACAATAATATTTGGGCATCCTGAATGAGGAGCTGAACCTGTTGGCTGAATAGTTTTTGAATACCGAGCTGGATAGTTTTAATTTTTTAAAAAATTACTCATTGTATTCAGATAAGGGAAACAACTACATTCAGTAAATGAATTCACAATCTTTGAAGATATCATTATGCACTCTATTCATCCAGATTTCAGGACAGCTCAAAATCTGGCATTTATGAGATATACAAAAGTAACCTTTAGACCCAAGATAGCCAGCTGGTAACTTCTACTTTAAAAATATTACTGTCCTGAGTATTCTTTCTTTTACCTGCAGCATAGAATTCAAGATTTAGGAATCTTTGACCCTGGCAAGGGGTCCTATGTTGTTGGCTGCCTGTTTCTAAATGTAAAATAACCTTCCATTTAGGCAAGAATAAAAGTTTGCATATCTAGTATCTAAAGCACATGGATTTCTCTTCAGTCAACTGCACAGAACACTCAACCTTGAGACAGTCAAATTTTTACTACTACTTACTCTTTAAACAAATGGTAGTAAGCACCTAATTTATAAGATGTACTATGCATTACAGAGAATGTTAAGATTAATGAGATGTTGACACTGGTTTTCAAAAGCTTACTGTGCAGTAGAATAATAAGGATGTTTATAAATGAGAAAATTTTTAATAAGCTTCCTTTTAAAACTATTTGAAGGAGTTAAGAATCCAAGGGCTATCTTTTGATCTAAACACTATACATGTATCTAGTTAGACTACCGGAAATATAGTTTATATGCTATGAAACAGCATGATTGAATTATGATTTCTGTGTTGCCATTCAAGTACAAAGTTTGTTTTAAGGGTCATATTGATTATTTGATCAAATAACTTAAGCTTCATTAAACACCCATGGAAAAAGTCTCTTCCTCCAAAGCTATCCAAAATCAACTTTGATGGTGTGTTAACAATCTTTGCAAATTCGTTTATCTGAACAGATCCACTGACATGGTTGTAGTTGGTTAGAAACAAAATAGTTTATTCTGTTTTCAAAAAAAGGCAATACTACGTTTCCTCCAAACTGCAGAATTTAATGATTTGCTACCTTTCAACTCTTACCAAGAATAGCCTCAAGAAATCATCATTGTAAATACTGTTTCTGCATTTTCTGTAAATTTTCTGACAAAGACGGTATCTTATTCTAACATAAAAATGCTTCTTGTGAATTTCTCTTTGATTTACTTATTAGGGAAAATTTTGTCTTGCCTCCCAAAATAAATGTTATTTTAAAATTAATGATTTCCATGTAACTGGTCTTAATTTCTTCTGTCTTGGCTCCCAAAGTGTTTAGAACCCATTTTAATGCTTCTATAGAGCAGTTATTAGGTTTCAGATCTCATCATCATTTTCCTTTTATTTTTATGGCTTTTAATATTATTTTGACATATGCATGTTTTATTATAAGTAACATTAAACTATTTCTGGAACTTGGTACAATTAATAAGCAAATATGTTAAATCCTTTTAAACGTGTGTCAACAGAATTCACATATTGCTCGTTTTATGCAGAAATAGCATTGTGTTCTGTTTGACTGTGGCCATTGGTCCTACATTCTTTGTCTCCCTCCTTTCTACTTTTAAGGATCTTTCTTATTTTTTATTACCAGATAGATTGTCACTCCTTGTATAAATCATGTCTTCTGTTTGTAATCAGATCTTTATTGGTTTATAGGTTTGAGATCTCATTTTATTTTTCAGAGTGTATGTTTGGGCAGCCTTTAGCATTTTATTTTGTTGTATCTTTTGATTTTTTCTCAAATATAAGTTCTTTTGGCTGTACTATAAATTATGTGAATTATAGGACTTAAATGCTATCATTTCTCAATTATTTGAGCTCTAGGGAAACACAGATGATGTTTTTACCTTTTTAGGTATGCTCTAGAATCAATCAGTGCTACTGGCTGGACAGCAAAATTTATTTACTTAATTTGTTGGTATTTATATGGAATTGTTTGGAGGTTTTTTGTTTTTTTTTTTTTTTTTTTTTGGAGACAGTCTCAGTCTGTTGCTTAGGGTAGCAAGATCACAGCTCACTGTAGCTATGAACTTCTGGCTTCAAGCAGTCCTCTTGCCTTAGCCTCCAAAGCACTGGGATTATAGTTGTGAGCCACTGTACCCGGCCTATATAGAATTAATTTTCCACAGTTTTGGTTCTAAGAATTTGGACACAGGAGTAAAGCATAATGGATACAATGCAAAAAGATAATTCTTGTAGAATTATCTGAAAGTTTAGAGTCTTCTGAAATTAACAGAAATGTTAATTTCATAGCTTTTTCATCACTCTTATTGTTGGATTCTCACCTAAAGTAGTCAGTCACAAAGGTTCTCAAAGCCAGTAAATGTATCAGAGAGTCAGTATATGAGAGGATAAAGGGTATGGCTTTGTTCAAGTTGCCTTATAAAAGTATTAAAGCAGGGGCATGCATGTGTTTATGCTTAATAAATAATACTGATATTTCTTTGACTTTTTCCCCCTCAGAGGTGACATTGTGATTGCAAAAAGCCCAAGTGATCCAAAATCAAATATTTGTAAAAGAGTAATTGGTTTGGAAGGAGACAAAATCCTCACCACTAGTCCATCAAATTTCTTTAAAAGCCATAGTTATGTAAGTAATATTTCAATTATGTTATTCTTTGGTGTCATAATTGATTAACAGTAACTGCTGACAAAAGAAAGTAATGTTTACTCATATTTCAAATGTAGGAAAAAATGCATCCAGTAGAATTTTAATATGTTTATATCAAGAACAATTCAGCTATTATATTTCATATATTTTAGTTACCTTCAAAACCCTACATAAACATCTTAGTAATATTATTACAGACAAGATTTACCAGTGGATGCTAAAATTATTGGGCAAAGGTTTGAGGAGAAATAGAATTTATGCATAATCTTTTTTTTTTTTTTGAGATGGAGTTTCACTCTAGCTGTCCAGTCTGGAATGCAATGGCGGAATCTCGGTTCACTGCAACCTCTCCCTCCTGGGTTCAAGCAGTTCTCCTGCATCAGCCTCCCGTGTAGCTGGGATCACAGGCATGTGCCACCACGCCCGGCTAATTTTGTATTGTTAGTAGAGACGGGGTTTCTCCATGTTGGTCAGGCTGGTCTCGAACTCTGGACCTCAGATGATCCACCCGCCTCAGCCTCCCAAAGCGCTGGGATTACAGAAATGAGCCACCTCGCCTGGCTTGCATAAACTTAAAGTATCTCTCCTAAGATACTTATTACAAAGGGAAAAATCTTAGAGGTGAAACCTGTCAGGCACCACTTTCACTGAGTTAACTTCATCAGTAACACATCATTATCAATATAATGCAGCCTCTGGATTGAAGCACCAAGGACACTTGCAGGAAAAAAATGTTACAGCCTTAGTCTAATCATGAGAAAATGTAAGAGAAACTCAAATTTAGGGTCATTCTACAATGTAACTGACCAGTGCTCTTCAAAAATGTCAAGGTCATGAAAAACATGGAACGATCAAGGGAGTGTTATTGGAGCAGACAAAGGAGATATGATAACTAAATGCATTTGGGATCCTGGCTTAGATTGTCCACTGACTATTAGCTGGAAATCTGACAAAATCAAATAAAGCCTATAGTTTTTTTTTTAACATTGTATTTAAATTTTGAGAATCGATATTGTATATATATCAAAATCATATACAACAACCTTGCCTTTACAGCTAGAAAAAGTGCAAGGACAGTAAAATGGAAGAATGAAGAGTAGATAAAATACATTAGTTCCTTTCACCAATCACATGGCTTCTGTAACAGAGCTTATCTGGAAGAGGTGGCCTTTTGTTTACTCAGCTTATATTCTTACTTTAATAATTATAGCTTAATTTTCTACCTTACTGTAACTTGTCTGTGTCGCTATCAAATTATTGATGCAGCTGTTTGTTAACTAACATTATCTCTGTATTCATCCTCAATGTAAATACATAATTGAATAATTACATTGCCAGTGTAAATTTATTTTGAATCATAATGGCCTCTGATTGCCCTATAAGTAAGTTTGATCAATAGACTGTTAAATAATCAATTATTTATTTACCATCTGTAATTGACTATGGTTCAACTGTACAAGTGTTTTTGATGTTTATTACTACAATGCTAAATACACAGTAATTGTTAGCTTATGGTGATAATAGTGTTAAAGATAGTGTGCTGTCAGGTAACATTTTTCTACCGTTGCTTTCATCATGGACACTGTATCCTCTTCTCCTTAAATAATGTTAGATTTTCCATATAGTTTCACCTTCATATGACTATTAGCATTTCCTGAGATATTCTAGTCACTTCTAAATTGCTGTAGCAACATGTATGTACTTGAAACCAGAAATGGTATCGACAGACAGAACAACAGAACAAATAAATAGCATCCTCTAGGTACTTAATACCATACCATTGTTACTGTTGATTTTTTTTTTTAAGAGTTATTAGAGGTGGATGTCAGTACAAAAGGATTCAGATAAAGTCTCTGCTAAGTTACCAGAGGATATAACCAGCACTGTAAGCTGTAAATTTTTTAAAGTTCTATTAGAGGAAAATATTCTTTGAGTTTTGTTTTTGTTTTTAATTAACACATAATGGTTGTACATTATTTATGGGGAATAGTATGATGTTTCAATATGTATATACATTGTATACAAATGAAATTAGGACATTTAGCATATCTATTACCTCATACATTTTTTGTTCGCTTACAGTGAGAACATTCAAAATCCTCTCTTTCAGCTTTTTTTTTTTTTTTTTGACAGGGTCTTGCTCTGTTGCCCAAGCTGGAGTGCAGTGGTACAATCTCAGCTCACTGCAACCTCCTCCTACAGGGCTCAGATGCTTCTCCCACATCGGCCTTCTGAGTTGCTCTTTCACTTGTTTTGAAATATACAATACAATATTGTTAACCGTAATTACCCTACTGTGCAGTAGAACACTAGTAGGGTGTTCTATTACTGAGTTTTTATATGTTTGATAAATGTACAAATTAGATAACATTGCCATTTTGTTCCGGGTATATCCCATTCACTTTTGTTGGACACCTTTGTAAGTTTACAATACATCATTCTAATAATTTTGGTCAGCACTTATTTTATACTTCCTCCATACGTTGAGAATCTTTTCAAAGGTTAACTTATTTAATTATTACAACAGCAACCCAGTGAGGTAGGTAATACTAATATTTTACTGATAGGTAATTTTAAAAAAAGAGGCTAAATAAATTGCCCAATTTCAAACAGTAAGAGGAAGAATGAGGATTGAAACACAAATAGTGGCTTTAGAATCTGTAATCCTTACCATGCCACTACTACTTCTTTCAGAATACCCTCTGCCTATCTATTTCTGTTCCCATCTCATCAAATTATACTTACTGTAAAATGTATTTGTCTTTATTATTTAAAAAAAAAAAAAACAAAGGGAAGTATTTCTGATCAGGGGCAGTATTGGTTCTGAAAGAGGCCAGTGTTTTTGAGTTTCTCCCTTGCCAGTTTTACTAGGCTGGGTTATTCAAGTCATAAGAATTGTGTAGCTATTACAGAACCACTTTAGCAAATGCATTCTATTAATCAAGGTGATTATAACAATATTTCTTCCAAGTTTGGAGTGCTTTGAAAAGATAGCCAAAATGTTTGCAGGGTCTACCCTTCTTGTGTGTGTGTCCCTTTTTTCAGCTATCTCAGAAGCACACTGGTGCTATTTTATGAAATGAATGTCTTCCCCTTACCTCTGCATCCTCTTAGAAAATTCATTCTTGTTTATAAGATGAAGATATTACTATTCATATCTTGATTGAGCTGCTTAATAAAATGAATATTAAAATATGTTTTGAATTCCAGGCAAAAAAAGTTTATTCTTGTATGTAGATGCTTCAGAAAGCAAAGCACTAAATTGTTCATTGGAACCTAGCCTGTAGAGTTTAGCATATCAAAAAAATAGCAATGTTGGTAGATTGGCAGAAAATAATATAAACAAACCATTGGTTAAGTGATATAGTGATATGGGATCATTTTATTCATTCCAGAGTTCTTTTTTGTTTGTTTGTTTTCCATTCCAGAGTTTTAAAATACCACATAGCAAGCAATCTTATAATTCAGCTTTATTTTTTACTATTAGGTATTTGGAAACTAAGCAGTCCCTATTAAGATGCTATTGCTGTGGGTTTTGCTTATTGTGAGGGTACTGAAGCCAATAATTCTTTCCTGGGGTTATGAACTGAGCACTGGCTACTGTAGGGATATGAGATTAATTTGTGACTCTCAAAAGAAACAAATTGTCATGACCTCAAACATCTTGAGTACCTTGCCTTTCTGTGTATGCTGCAGGAATTTCTCAGTTTCCTGCCAGAAGCCACTACTTTATCAGAAAAAATAATTTAGTTGGAAGTAGTAGCATGTAGCAAATAAGAAATAAACAGAATGAATTGGCATTCTCATATCAGTTTGCACAGCAGGCAAAATGCAAAGTAAACCTCTAATTTAGTCTTCAATCCCTTAGGGAATATAGGGCGAGGGCTCAGAAATACACTAAAATTTTGTTATAAAGCCAATTAAGAAGAAAAGTACTTCATAATGTTTATTAGGATAATATTGTGTGATAATCCAGGACTATGCTTTTAATCCATGGGGTAATTGGAATAGTTAGGCATTTTGAAATACAGTAAATTCTTATCAATAAACACATTATAAAATCTACAACTAAACAAACTACCTCAATACCACATCCTCCTATAGGGAAGAGTTGTGTGTAGTTACTCCACTCTGAGCTTCCTATTATTTTTTTGAACTCATTCCAGTTAGGCTTTGGTCTCTACCACTTCATTTATGGTTTTTGTCAAAGTCCCCAATGACTTCTTTTGTCGCTCCAGTGATCAACTCTCAGTCCTCATCATACTTAACCTATTGTTAGTATTTGAAATAATTATTCTCAAAACCTGTTGTCACTTTTTTAGAACACTGCTCTTTCTAGGTTTTTTCCCTATCTTTCTGACTGCTGCTTCTGAATTTACTTTATTGGTTCCTCCTATCTAAACATTGGAATGTTTTTCAAATCTTGGAGTTAACTAAAGCTTCATATTTTAAATTTCTGTTGTTTCTATACACTTACACTTTAGCTGACCTCATCCTGTCTCATGGTTTTAAGTACCGTACTTTTAAATTTACTCTCAAATTTATATCAACTATAACCTTTTCCCTGAACTCCAGAATCATGTCTGTCTAATATCTTCACTTCAATGAATAATGGTCATCTCAAACTTACTGTATCCAAAACTAAAATCCTGATTTTCTTTCCCAAACTGGCTCCTTCTGTACACTTCCCAATCACAGTAAAGAATTACTCTCTTTCTCTTTCACTCTACATCCAGTCCCTTAGCAAATCATGATTATACCTTTTATATATAATCAGAATCAAACCACACTTTGCCACTGTCACTGCTACCCTCCATTAGTTTGCAAGGTAAACTCGTCTCTCTCATGTCGTTGCAGTAGTTTCTGAACTGCTTTCTTTGCTTATACCCTTCCCCTTTTCTTGGTTCTCTAACCCTTCCATTGATGTTCTCCACACAGCAACTAAGGTCATCCTTTTTGATGATGATGCTTTTTAAAAGCAATGATGTCACTCTTCTGCTCAAAGACTCCAGTGGTTCCCCATCTCATAATAAAAGCCATAGGTCTTATGGTGGCCTGCAACACCCTGCATAATCATTTTCCCTGCTGCATTTCTTGTAATTATTGTCATTGGAACACAATCATGCCCATTCATTTATCTGTTGTCTGTGTTTGCTTTCTTTAAAATGTCAGAGTTGAATAGTTGTGACAGAAACTATATGGCTTGCAACGCCTAGACTATTTCCTGTCTGGTCCTTTACAGAAAAAGTTTGCTCACACCTTGATCTAGAGTATAAGATTCTTGGTGACAGGGACTCATTTTGATCGCAGTTGATTTCCTATCATTTTAACTGTGATTTGGCAGCTATTAGATATTTTTAAAATACTTGAAGGGTAGACAGATCTAGATATATATGAATAGGGTGCTAGTTTCTTTTCTACTTCTACTCATTTTTTCTACTAGTTTCTATTGCAAACTTGCTCCCAAGTAAATGCATGATGTTATGACTTCTCAGATGTTCCTGGAGCCGACCACACTGCTGAACTGGCCAATCTGTGGTCATTCTAGTCAAATCATAACTTCAAAACTAAGCTATTTCCAATGGTAAGACTACCTGACCACCTTACACAGTGGCAGGTGAAAATTGTAGAAAATGTTGGAATGTTCCTCTGTGTACCTGGAGAGCAGAGTGCTGATTAAATGTTTCTTTTCCTAAGTAACTTGTATTTAGGACGGCATATTTTTCAGGCCTTTCATTAAGCAGAATAAAAATTCACCAGGCTCTGAATTGACTTATCACCATAGGATATTGAATTTAGTTAAGTTTCTTAAAGTATTAGGGGAATTGAGCTATTCTGGGCTTACCTTATTCTCATTTTGAAGGAAGATTTGGTGACCCTGAAATGCTATGGTGGTTTTATTGCAATGAAGGCTGTTACCCTTGCAACACTCATTGCCTACTAATTAGGTTGTGTGGCAGTAAGAGTTTCTGCATTTCTGTAGAGATACATGTGCCTTTTTAACATATTTAACTACTATACAGATATTTTCTTCTTTTGGTCCTTTTATTGGTTGACAGCCTAAGAATGGGTAAAATTGTTACCTGGAGTTTATAAATGTCTCCTTTTAGTGTACACTGCTGCTTTTCTCTGGTTGTTCATTGTAAAATGAAGAATCATTTTAAAAATTTCAGTTAAAACCTTATTGAATTTTTGTATCTTAATCATTGTATTGAGAATAGATGTATTAATAGAACATAATTATGGAAATTTCAGTATATTCCTGTGGTTAGTGCATAGCAGTCTTTTGCTATTGTTACAGGAAACAAATCTGTTCTTATTAGAAAAATCATGTTTTTACTTTTATCTGAGGGCTGCCAAAAATATCTGGCTATGTAAAGGTTTTTGGTTGTCTTTGATACCATAGATGTCAGCATTATACACAAAAGGTGAAACATTGTTCACCAAATAATAAGCCACTGCCGTAGCAGAGTGATGGGAGGTGAATAAGGAATGTAGTTATTTCTTATGTTTTTCTTTGTAAATTGTAGAGTATGTTATTACTGGCTTAAATGTAAGAAGTAGAGACTTTTACATTTCAGAATGAAATGATTAAATGATCTCAGATGCAGTGGTGGTATAATGTATTAAAAAGAGAACTTGGAAATGTAACAATATGGCAATACCCTTCAAGTATTTTAAAATACTTGAAGGGTAGACAGATCTAGATATATATGAATAGGGTGCTAAGTTTCTTTTCTACTTCTACTTATTACAGTATATTAGAAAATATTTAAATAAAACTGATGAACAACCTAAGAAACAATCTTACTAATTAGCATTACAAAATGATCACATTATATAGTTAACATTAATAGTCCTTCAATGCGTACTATATATTTAGGGTATAGTTCGAATCCCTGAATATTCTAAATGCTGTCTTTCTGTTTGTTTAAATGTCATTTCCCTTAGCTAAAAGTCAACCATCTGGTCTTCTATTGCCACTTGCATTATAAACACAAAAAAGTACTTCTCTGTAGAGAGAGGAATCATCAGATTGAAAGGGCTTGTGTATTATAAGCTGCTGATATACTAAATCCTTATGTCATTTAAATAGAAGAACTACCTAATAATGTCACTTATTACAACTAGGGTATCTAAACAAGGGACTTGTTTTTTGCAGACTATAGTGATAAAAACCTGTGCTACACATCCATTTCTCAGCAACGGCTCCTAAGACAATCAATCATGGCATACTGCTAATGCCTTGATTGCAGCTGATGTGGAGGAAATATGTTTACTCTTTTGCTAAAGTGAAGTTCACTGCGGAGGTGACGTGACTTTTTCATCCTATAGCTAACACAATTCTGAAGATAAATTTCACTCATTGTTTACAAGTCTGAAGTGTTTTTGTTCAGATGTCAATACTAAAGAATGATCTTTGAGGCTCCTCGACTTAAGTGTTTTCTGATGTGTTCTCTAAACGTTTTCAGAATAAATTTGAGCTTAGTTTAACAGTAATATGTAGTTTACAAGAATCTTATTTTGTTGTAGTATATTTTATTTTTATATGTTTGAAAAGATGTATATATGACGATCAGCATTTCTACTGAAAGAGTAGCAGGTTGTCCTGAAATTTGTATGTGTTGCTCACCTAGAAATATTTTAACTACTCAAAAGTTAGAAAGTCGGTGCCATTGGTATGAGTCTAGAGAGGCTGGATACAGTTGAATAAAAGGAAAACACTATATGTATTTTTATCTGCAAGTTATCTGGATCTTTAAAGTTGTTCTCTTCTTTAAAGTTGCTTAAAAGTCCTTTGCAAAAATTAAAGACCAAGGCCAGGCACGGTGGCTCACACCTGTAATCCCAGCACTTTGGGAGGCCGAGGCGGGTGGATCACAAGGTCAAGAGATCGAGACCATCCTGGTCAACATGGTGAAACCCCGTCTCTACTAAAAATACAAAAAATTAGCTGGGCATGGTGGTGTGTGCCTATAATCCCAGCTACTCAGGAGGCTGAGGCAGGAGAATTGCCTGAACCCAGGAGGTGGAGGTTGCAGTGAGCCGAGATCGAGCCATTGCACTCCAGCCTGGGTAACAAGAGCGAAACTCTGTCTAAAAAAAAAAAAAAAAAAAAAAAAAATTAAAGACCAAAATTGCAACACTGGTGTTCAGTGTAAGCATCTGAACCAGACTCCAAACTCTGTTGGTAGTAAGGAAAATATATTCCAAGTGTTATGTGGCTTTGTAATCTGAAACAATTTTTTTTTTTTTTTTTGAGGCAGAGTCTCACTCTGTTGCCCAGGCTGGAGTGCAGTGCACAATCTTGGGTCACTGCAACCTCTGCTTCCCAGGTTCTAGTAATTCTCCTGCCTCAGCCTCCTGAGTAGCAGGACTACAGGTGCGTGCCACCATGCCTGGTTAATTTTTGTATTTTTAGTAGAGACAGGAGGATTTCACCATATTAGCCAGGATGGTCTGAAACTCCTGACCTTAAGTGATCCGCCTGCCTCGGCCTCCCAAAGTGGTGGGATTACAGGTGTGAGCCACTGTGCCCGGCTGCTAAAACAATCTTGACTAGGGCTGCTGGAAAAGCTGCTATTGACTAGGTGAAATATATTCAACTGTCTTTTGGAGTAAGCAACTAAATGAAGTTTTGATGTTAGTAACTTTCAGTAATTAAAATTCGACAGATTTTTGTAAACAACTTAATCTTAGCCCATACAAATATTCTCACCAAACCAAATGATTTTCTACCTAAAACAAGAATGAAAAAGAGGAAAACAGATATAAAAGCAGGTAAGCATATTATAAAATGGCTAAAGTTATTAAATTAGCAAGAAAATATTGGCATTACAAGTTGTTGCACTGCCAACCTAGACATGAGAGTGTTTTCCTCCTGGGATAGAATTTTCATAATTTCTTTAGGAAAATGTATAAATCACTTAGTATGGCAGAGCTAGTACCTGCATCCAGCTAAATACAAATGCGGAGGCAACAGGGAAAGGAGACTAAGCAGTATTTAACAAAGTACTTACAATTATAGGTAATTTAAAATTCTTGGTTGCAACTTAAGATTCTCATCTACTTTGTGTATATTATGTATGGATCTTGAAAGCAAGAAGGATTAGAGAAACCTTCTGTTGTCTAGAGACTTGAAATTTGACCTGACTTCCCAATGTAAGTAAAGTCAAAGTAGGTCTAGGGACATAAACTGATAATGATAATGGACTTCTGACCCCAGACCAGTCCCAGCACACATCTTCCTTAATGAGCTGCCTTCAAAGTGGCCAGATCACTGGACTTGGGAGGGGGAACATCTAAGGGTGAACTGAGAGAGCAGACTTAAATAGCTTTCAGGAGGCTATAGGAGTATGCAAAATTTGCCAGACATTAACCTTTCAACTTTCTTTTTTTATGTGTGCATTCATTAATTCCACAGACACTTAGCACTTACTTGAAGGCCAGTACAAGTTAGGGTAGTTATCTTTGCCCCCAGCAACACCAATAGAACTTTCTGAAATAATGGAAATATTCTTTATCTGTGCTGTCTGATATGGTAGCCACTAGCACATGTGGCTGTTAAACACATGAAGCATGGCTAGTGTGTCTGAGGAACTGAATTCTTAATTTTATGTAATTTTAAAATTTAGGTAGCCACATATATGACTAGTGGCTGCCATATTGGACAGTGTAACTTTAGGAGGTTATAGTTAAGTTGGAGGAGCAGACAAAGAATTACAGTATGATGTAATAGAATTATGCACAAGATGCTTTAATAAGACACAAGGATATTTATCCATACTGGGGTAGATGGGATTATTCCAGAATGAGAAGGTGAAATCTGAGTTGAAGTTTTAAAGAGTAAGTCAGAGTTAGTCAAAGCAAGCAGCATATTCTGAAGGCCTAGAAGTGAGTATAGATAGCATTGTGCTTTTGGGGAGCTGCCAAAAGTAAGAGTTCCAGTGTATGACATATAGAGTAGGAGGGATGAGTAGTAAGAAGAGATAAAAATGAAAGGTAGATGCCAAGCATGGTAGTCTGTTATGTGGGAGGATGTCTTAAACCAAGGAGCTCAAAGTCGACCTGGGCAATATTGCAAGACCCCATCCTTAAAAGTAAACAAGGCCGGGCGCAGTGGCTCAAGCCTGTAATCCCAGCACTTTGGGAGGCCGAGGCGGGTGGATCACGAGGTCAAGAGATCGAGACCATCCTGGTCAACACGGTGAAACCCCGTCTCTACTAAAGCTACAAAAAATTAGCTGGGCATGGTGGCGCGTGCCTGTAATCCCAGCTGCTCAGGAGGCTGAGGCAGGAGAATTGCCTGAACCCAGGAGGCGGAGGTTGCAGTGAGCCGAGATTGCGCCATTGCACTCCAGCCTGGGAAACAAGAGCGAAACTCCGTCTCAAAAAAAAAAAAAAAAAAACAAAGTAAACAAGGCTCAGTACCTTTTATGTTTCAAGCAAGGGGATAACATGATCAGGCTTAGTTTTTATTTAGTTTCTGTGAGTCCGTTCTCATGTTAGTGTAGATTTAAATAAAGGATGGCTAGGCGTAGGAGAGCTTGGAGGCAGAGACCAGTTAATAGGCTGTGAGTGAGGCATAACTGAGATACTAACATTGAGAATAAAAAGAAGCACAAAGATTGCAGAAAGATTAAGGAAATAATCTAGACAAGATTGGATGCTGGAAGAAAGGGAATTGAAGGGCTTAAAAATGATACCCAAGTTGTTAGTTCTTGCCACAGGATAGGTGGTACAAGAAAATAGGGTTGTTGGGGAGATGCTAATTTGGGAAATGGAAAGAAGATATATACAATTTTGGACAAGTATAGAATTCTAATAATCTTAAGGTAGATTATATTTTACATTAATACTGTGGCAATTAAATTTTATAATAAGTAGCAAAAAAGCATTGCTTTCCCCAAATGACATCTGGATGCTTTGCTATTCCCTCCTTTATGTCCACAGTCTATTTTTCTCTCTTAGTCAAAACAATGTTTTGATGCGCTTAGCCCCTAGATCACTCTTACTTCTTAAAGAGCTTCAGCTTCTCTTTGTATCATGCATCATCGCTAAAAAATGTCATCTGTCATCGCCCGCCTATTTTACAATTTTGCATTCACAAAGCTAGATTTTATTCTAAATAATCTGCTGGGTTTGATACATTAGAGTTGTGTTTTGATGAGTAAAACACAAGCAGAAGTGTCTGTCAGATATATTCAACAATGCCTGTTTTAAAAAAACTGCATCAGTAACATCAAGTACAAAAAGACTTACATATTTAATTTTAATCATTTCTTTTTTGAAGTATGGCAACTTTTCTACTGATAATCTATTTCTAATACCCTTTCAGATATAAATCTGTTTTTCTAGCCAATCTCTATATAAAGCAGCTATGCATAGCAACAACAGGAGATTGAAAAAAGCTATAGAGATTCATCTGTAGTAAAAAAAAATCCATAAAGGATGAGTTTGGATTTTGGGAAGAATTAAGTGGAGTGCCAGGAATAAAACTTCTGGTGGAAACATGTTAGTACATATTGTGTGCAGTATGCAGCTGATTACTGTTTAGAACTTTTTCTGAGAGCATGAGCAAACTCATTATTGTTATACTTAACACCATTTTTTACTACACTCGGAAATAGCCTTTGTTGAATTAAGTTGGGCTCATCCTCTGGAAAGAGAGCAACTATGTAGATCAAGCTGTATTAAAGTGAATGAGAATATAAAATGCTTCTTTTAAATACAAATCCCAAAATAGCAGGTAACATTGTATTTACAGAGAGAAAGAAGTAAAAGACTGGAACAGTAGTATTGGGAGGCGTGGATAGAAAGGCCTATAAACTGCCTTCAGTCCCAACCCTCTTTTCCATCCCCTATATTCTGACTAGTTGGTAAATGGTTCTGAAGAAGTGGATGCTTGAAGGGCCTAAGCATTCAATATTTAATAAACATTGCTTTATGAAGATGCACATTTAAGTTTAAGACCAGCCTGGCCAACATGGTGAAACCCCATCTCTACTAAAAATACAAAAATTAACTGGGTGTGGTGGTGCGTCCTGTAATCCCAGCTACTGGGGAGGTTGAGGCAGGAGAATAGCTTGAACCTGGGAGACTGAGGTTGCAGTGAGCTGAGATCATGGCATTACACTCCAGTCTGGGCAACAGAGCAAGACTCCATCTGGGGGAAAAAAAAAAAAAAGAAATGTTAGTTTTTACTGCTAATCTAGGAAGATTTTATCTTAAAAGCTGAATTTCATTAAATCAGGTGGCATAATTGATGTGGTACTTACTCATAATTAAAATAGCAAAGCACAGTTAACTTTTCAGAGATCTGGGTTGACTGCCTAGGAAACTAGGGACAAAGAAAGCCCAGTAGACATCGTTCACAATGGCAAACATGGCAGCTGCGAGTAAGTGCTCTTACTGACTTCTTCCTGGGTGCCAGGAGTCTTATCTCATTTGGTTCTCATACTATTTCTGTAAGGTATTTATTAGTGTCAGTTGTATAGATGAGGTTTAAATAACTTGCCCAAGGTGCTTAACTAGTATGCAGAGCTATATTTGGAACTCAGGACTATGTGTGACTATGTGGACTGTATTTTTAACCACTATCCTAAACAACCCACCAGAGGTTACTATTCAGGCTAGATGGAGGTATTGAGAGCTTAGGGAGATGAAAGTGCTTATCTTGCAATCCCTACGAGAATGAGCAAGTCAAGCCTTAGACTAAGTTTTAAACCTACTCAGCAGGCATAAGTTCAATAATGAAAGAGAACCTGTTAATAAAAAGCATACCCCTTACTCAAACCCCAATGCTATAGGTATAG